AGCTTTCTGGGAGCTGTTAAGGGCAACGTCTGCATGGCTGTTCAATTGAAAGCCTGGTTCAGTGATACGTGAAGTTGGTGTTCGGAGTGCAGCGCATGGGTCTGCACTGCTCAAATCTGTGTTTAGCAATGCTTTTAACAAAACCAGGGTGTTTTTTTTTCCCCTTATAAACCTTTTATCTTATTAAATCTTCCAGTTCTACATTTGTGGTGATGCTTCCCCTAATGGCACTATAAAGCTGTTCAGGACATAAGCAGAGCAGTGACGTTAGAAGTGTATTTCTTTTTTTGCTCCTAGACTATTTGTGTCCTGTGGGTCACTATTGCCCCACTGGCAGCCCAGAGCCCATACCCTGTCCCTCTGGAAAATATCAGGACCAGGCTGGTAAAAGCCAGTGTGAAATATGCCCAGCAGGAATGTAAGTGAAATGGATTTGCTCCTTCCTCTGGATGCTTTCCTTGGGAATTAGCGTGTGTATTTCCCTCTGTCTTAGGCAGATCTGTGTGTTGCATCCTTTGATACACAAGGCTGGTTTTCTTGTTTCTGTTTCCGAATCGCCTTTCCGTTTACTGTGTCATTTTCTGTACCGCGACCCATGTATCGTAGAAAATCCGTCCTGGTAGGTCTGTCTGCTGGGATGGACAAAATGGTCGTGATGGGTTGCATCTCAGCTCTCCAGTTGTTTCCTTTCAAGTAATTTGTCTTCTGTTTTCTATGTAGTCTTAGAATGTCACTGTTGCACAGAAAAAGTTTCTTAGTCTCTGGCAGAACAGAGGGAGAGCATGGGCTGAGGCAAGACTTGGGGTTTTTTTGGTAGGTTCTGTGCCCCAAAGGGCCACCGAGGTGATCTGCAAGAAAACTTCTCACGTGGCGTGGTCAAACCAATAGAATGTCCAGCAGGATATTACTGCCTGTCGGGAACAAAAGCTGCCAATCAGTACCCATGCCCAGAGGGCACCTACAGTAACCAGACTGGACTGGGAAATCCTAGGGAATGCAAGCCTTGTCCTGGAGGCAAATTTTGTGCCAGTGCAGGTAGGAATCACGTATGGATCAAATACAATCCTAGGCTGTTTTGTATCTAGGAGAGTCAAAAAGATCCACCAATGGGTCAAGTGTTCTTCTGTATGCAGTTCATGTGACTTTTAAGTAGCATTTGTAATGATCTCTGGGTCTCCTTGGGTAGAGATTCTTTGTGCTCAGTTTTAAAGATTTTTACAAACTATCTTTTTTTAAGTTTAATTAAAGAGGCAGATTAAGGTGCTGTTGTTTTAGCAGAGATGATGAAACCAAAAGCCGAGCAGCTTGGGTTCTAGGACTCATTCGTGCTTGGTTGTCTCTTAGTGGAAAGACCAGTACCGATCAGCCCCTTCTGTAAAGGTGATCTAGAAAGCTGTTTAGACCTTTTGCTGTCTGGTAATCAGTTGTGTAAATAAATGTGGAGATCGTAGATCGAACTTTTAAGTAACAGAGCTAGTCACAGGCCAGTAGACTCTGAAGTCGTTGTGATGACAAGGTTTGTCTGGTTGGTTTAGTCCAGAAGCTGTGATTTATGTAGTGCCACTGGCTTATTTCACTTTATGCTTCTTTTCTTTAGGACTCTCGTCCCCAACCGGTCCCTGTTTGCCTGGGTATTACTGCACTTCAAAGGCACGTATACCCAATCCTGTTAACGATGAGGCAGGCAACCTTTGCCCAGCAGGCCATTACTGCCCACCAGGTAGCAGCAAGCCAGAGCTATGTCCCACTGGCACGTTTTTACCTCAGTCTGGGATGGTTTACCGTAATGCCTGTTTGCCCTGCCCTGGGGGAAAGTTCTGCCAAGGAGAAGGCCTGGCCAGTGTTTCTGGTGTGTATTGCATGCATCTAACACATTTTTTGTCTCCCAGTTTGGATTTTTTTTTATGTTTCTGGTTGCTTAAACAAATGCTGAAGCTTTTCTTTCTTGCAGGAACATGTTACGCTGGGTATTTCTGTGGTCTTGGATCCACACAGCCAGATCATAATCACTGCCCCCCTGGCTTCTACTGTCCTGAAGGCTCTGAATCCCCAATCCCGTGCAGCCCTGGAAGCTTCAACCCTGACAGTGGGAAATGGCAGTCAACAGACTGTCAGCTCTGCCCAGCTGGATACTTCTGCAATGGTGAGTTTCTGCTGGTGTATTTGGGAACTGGGGGGTTATGCAATGTGAGTGAAGACAGACACTCACTACAGCTTTATTTCTTACAAGTTTGTCCTTAGCAAATATAGGAGGAACAAACTCAATAAGTATCACACATCATCTTTTGTTAGCGACGGTTTCTGCAGGCTGTACACTTAAGTATAAATGCCCTGAATGATTTGTCTTCCAAAACTCCTGTTGTGTTCTCGGTAGCAGTCTCCGGTCACCCATAAACACTTCTTGCTTGCTATTACACCTTCTTCTTCCTTGGCTCAGCCACCTCTTCTAGATGTCTTTTATGTTTTTGGCCTCTCGGGGAAACAAAATATCCTGGCAAACAGGCGCTTGGTACTGGCTAGCAGCCATGGTCTCTGCTCTGAGACAGCTGCTCCTTCTCAGAGGTTCTCACCATCTGTCTGTACAAGCTGTTTATTTGCTCCCCCCAACACTGAAATATTTGCGGTCACACTGATAGTAACAGATTCACCCATCACCTTCTGTGAGACAAAGAGGCTTTTCCTTTCTCAGGTGAGGAACTGAAGCAACAGGGAGGAAATGACTGAGCTAACATGAGTTTATAGGAGACCTGGAACCACGACTGAGAGACTCAGAATCATACCTGAGCATTTTAATTGGAAGCCTATGTTTCCCCCAGGCATGTAATTAAGAACTGACTTTCCTGTGCGATAAGATGTTCTTTGTTTGAGGCTGAACTTCAGAGAATAGGTACTTTCTGACACACCTTACAGGTATATGATGAAGGATTTCATGATTCCAGCATATAAGGGTTTCCATTGTCTTTGTTCTGGTAAAGAAAAAGCAAAGGCTTTGCTTTTGTTGTTGCAAGGCTGGGCAAAACCACTTCTGAAGGACCATGTTCTGCAGGCAACTACTGCCCACCTGGCCAGACTTCAGTTACTCCCTTTCCCTATCGCTGTCCACGAGCCTTTTACTGCCCCATGGGATCTGCTTTTCCTATACCCTGTAAGCATGGGACGTACCAGTCACAGGAGAGGAAGGACTTTTGTGACCTCCGCCCAGCAGGACTCTTCTGTGAACAGCCTAACAAAAGTGAGGAGTCTGGATGGGGCTGTGTATTGCAGTAAAAAGAGATTCCATGTCACTAAGGGCTGAGTCTTCCTGTTAGACTTAGTGGAACAAAAAAGGATTTTGAATGCTGTAGCTTCCTTTCTTCTGTTAAGGTTCTACTAAGTCACTATTACATGAATTGGACTGGATAGGCAGGTGCATCAGTTTCTGCCAAGAATGGAAGTCAAAACACATTTCAAAGACTATGAGGCTGTAGGTGAACAAGCAGGCTGAAGCCAAATCTTTCTCCTATCTGGGGAAAGAAACTCCATGCCCAGGACAGTACGAGTAACGAAGATATCCCTGTGTGGTAGCTCATGCATGCAACAAAAAAATGTAAAAAATACAGCTGCACGAGTGTGCTTGAACTCTCTAGATGGGATTACTCTAATAAAACTGTAGACAGCTCCTTTGTAGACATCCGAATCTGAGCTAGTTTTCTGTACTCCCTTTGTAGTCAATGAAGAGAGAGAGAGGCACTTCGGAGGTGCAATTTATTTTTCTCATTTTTAGATGTCTGCCTTAGGATGAGATGAAATGCAGTTCCTCTGGAAGTGCTGTTTCTCTCCAGTTACTGCAGTGGGAATGTGAGCAACTGAATCAGAAGTACACACAATGAATCCCATGTCCTGGGTCTGGCTGAACTAACGGGGGAGGAAGGCTGACTATGTTGATAGAGAACGACATTGCCTGTCACCTCTTGTAATATCTCCTGAGCAAGGTGCTATTCTTTGTATTCTAGGTTCACATACTCCTGAGCTGTGCCCTGCTGGGTACTTCTGTCTGCCAGGTACCAACTTCAGTACAGAGCATCCATGTCCAAAGGGTACCTTTGGCCCCAGGACTGGCACCACTAGCGAGTCTGACTGTGAGCCCTGCCCAGCAGGTAAGTAGGGACTTGGCACAAGAAACCCAGGGGGCATACATGGGAAGGTTCAGGAAAATCCTTCATGTTATTGACTCCTGCACTGATTTTCTGTGCAGGCCCTCACACTGAGATTGCTTTCCTGTTCGTTTTAGGCATGTATTGTTCAGCACCAGGTCTATCACAGCCTTCTGGATTTTGCAGTTCAGGTTATCATTGTGCCAAGGGAGCCATCAGCCCAGCCCCCTTCAAACACAGGGTGAGTGAGTGCCGGGCAGCAGGACAGTAAACCTAGTGACAAGGAACGGTCTGTCACAATCTTGTAGCTTCTGGTGTAACATTTTTCCAAGCATTAGTGCTCTCTATGGGGTTGCTCTTGCCTTTTACTGCTGCCCTTGAAAGCTCCTCAGATGTAGTGATGTGCTGCTCTTAATGTCTGCTGGAATATGTTGCTGCCTACTAATAAATTCTGGCCAGATCTCCATTTCTGTAGATTGCACTGGAGCATGCTGTCTGTCTCCTCCAAAAGGTGGCATCAGGGATAGGATAGCCACGCCTCAGCAGCCAGTGCCCTTTTTATGCCAGCTGTGGTCTTCATTTAGTTTCAGCGGCAGCAGACTTGTAGGACTCAGGTCCTATGTGCCCTTTCCAGAACCTGGCTGTGTGGTACATTGTGCTAAATCTTCTTTCAAGAACACTTTTCCTCTGCTCTGTATTTTTCTGATACAGGTGGAATCTTCCAGCCTTGGTCTGCCTGGTAATGACATCTGTCCTGTAGGGCATTTCTGCCCCAGCGGTACAGGGTATCCCGTGCCCTGTCCTCCTGGATCCTTCTCTACCATTGTGGGCCTGGAGGCAGAGGAACAGTGCCAGCCCTGCCCAGCCGGACGGTATTGCAGTGGGGCAGGATTATCTGATCTGGCCCAGACATCGCTGTGTAACGCAGGGTGCGGTGAGACAGTTGCTTGTTAGTGGCAAAATACAGCTGTCAGGATTGCTCCAGGTTATAGTAGAGGGACATCCAAACTAAAAGATACTGGGCCTGAATGTCTCTTGTCGAATGCCTTGTGTGCAAATATTTACGCTCAAGATTGATTAAACCACAACGACTTTTGTTCTTACCCCTTCCAGTCGGCTACACAGCATCTACTTGGTGATCTCAGTAGATGTTTCAGAGCCATTTCTTTTCCCTTTATGTTTGCCTGACATTCTGTCCCAGCCTTGTACATGGTTTTTCGCTATTTTCACTCTAGGTTTAGTGTATTACAAATCCCTTATTTAGCCTCATAATCATACTTGCTGAAAATTCGACCTGGGCATCCTTTTCCTCTTCTGTGTTTTATCTCTTTTCCCACAAGGTGGTGCAATAACCAGAGACAAGGTAGCATTTCTAGCCTTCATAATGTAAGCAGAAAAGTGCTGTTACCTGTATTTGTCCATTTCATGAGTATGCCTTGTAGCAAGAAGCTAAAGAAACTCAGTTTATTTGGTCTGTGAAAGAGAATTTTAGAAGTAATTTCACTGTAGCGTAATGAGTTTTTGTGGGGAAAGATTTTTGATAGCAGGTGGCTCTTGAATCTAGTGGAGAAAACCACAGCGAAATTTGGCTAGAAGTTGAAGCTGAACTTAGAATACAAGCAAGGGCTGCATTTGGAATGACTAAAAATAATTAGCCACAGAAACAGAATTCCTGGGAGCAATAGGGATTTGCCACTTCTCCAGTTGAATTTTAGAGCCTTCCCAAAAATTCCTTTAACCCTAGAAAGATTTTATAGCCTGCCTGCAACAGTATTGGCTAAGGTTTTCTGGGCTGAGTGATAATGAATATTATATGACTATAAATGACTCTCAGCTTCCAAAATATGTGAAGTTCTTGCCTCCAACAGGGTACAATTTGTGCTGTGCCCAGGCTGCTTTTCAACACCTCTACCATGTAGCATTCATCACTTCTCATAGCCCGTTCAGTCCTAAACAGGTCTTGCTTCCAGGCAAAAGAACAGCTTTGCTGTTCTTTTGTTCAGTGCTGCTCCTTTTGCACTCAGTATTTTGCCTTAAGGACTAGGAATTGTTTCTTCTTCAGAAACTACATCGTTTGAATCCTTCTCTACAGCATGCGATGGGACCATGGCTCTCCCTTCCTTGTTGCTCAGCTCTTACCGTAACAGATTTTATATTTCTTCGTCTTTACTTGCTGGCAGAGTGTTGGGAGGGAAGTGGTAAAGGGAAGATTCAATGTTAGAACTAGATGGCATGAAAACAGAAGCCTACAAGAAGACTGGGGACAAAAGGAGGCTAAGCAAAGACAGCAGGAACTGAACGCTTGGGCCCTGTGCTTTGAAGTAAAAAAACGCTTTAGTTTTCAAAGGCTTTTCCTTTCAGAATGAGAACGCTTTCCAGTCAGCTTAGTGCAAAAAAGCCATTTGCTGGGATTTTCAGGTGGGCACTAAATTCCAGATGACAGGGAGAACATGTTGGCAAAACTGAAACAAACTGCATTTTCAAGGGTTTGTTAATGTGCTGACTGTTGGTTTTTGATTAGTGCCTCCCCCACCTATTGCCTCTAAACAGGGCTGTCAGCTCACTGTTTCAGGTCTGGATTTTCTCTCTACAGCTATGTTTGCCTGGGAGGAAACTCTGCTCCCTGCCCTTCTGATGGGATTCATGGATACAGATGTCCCAGCGGCTTCTACTGTCCTACGGGCACTGGGGTCGAACTGCCCTGTGAGCCTGGCACATTCAGCCCTGTGCCTGGGGCAAGTGTCTGCCTCCCTTGCCCAGCTGGTATGGCCTGCAGCAGTGCTGCCACTGTCGAGCCACTCGGCTGCCCCAGAGGTGAGCAATACATGTGTGCAGCAAAACCCCTAACATACGAGTGGGAAGAGATATGATGGATGCCTGTACAACTCTTTCTGGCTGATCCATAGTAGTGGTTCACTCCAGGGGATGCTATTAGTTAGAGCAAGCTCAGTGTTCCCACCTCTTTCTCCTTCCTTTTTTGAGCGGTGTCTCATTCATCTCTCTCAATGTGCAGGTTACTATTGTCCAGTTCGGACGGCTGTCCCCCTGCCGTGCCCTGAGGGGACACTGAACGCCTTGGAGGGGGCATTTGCCCCCACTGCCTGCAGGCTGTGCCCAGTGGGGAGGTACTGCAGAGGAGATGCTAACTGGGAACCTGATGGTGAGTTTTTGGTTAATAACAGACCACCCGCAACAGAGGGGTTGGAGATTCAGGGCTGGACGATGTAAGGAAGTAGAAAACATATGTCAGTGAACAAAGGTCATAAAGGCTATTGGAGGGCACCCTTCTTCCCTAGGTCTGTGCCTATGAGTCATTTCTTTTGTCTGTTTCATTCTTTTAACAGAGCATTTGTCTTGGATGTTATTTTTATGTTAGGGCATTACTTTCCTTGTCTCCCTTAGTTTTTTCTGCTTTCTCTTTCTTTGCTTTTAACCCTTTTATTGCTCTTGTTTCTGTCCTCCTAAATCCTTCCCCTCCTGTTTAAGCAGAGTAGTTGTCACTGGGCCAAAATGCAAAGGTTGGACATATGAGAAGAAGAGAGGCAGAACTCCTTCCACAGAAAACAAAATATGAGGAACCAGTTAGAGAATTGAGAAGGTAAGCAAATGCCAGATGAGGTCAGTGCAAGTAAAGGAAGGAAGTGATAGAGGCCAAAGATTGAAGAGAAGGAGGGAAGGCAAACAAAAGGTGAACAGCCCAGGATATCAGCAGTGGTAAAACAGGACAAGGATGGGCTTCCCGCTTATGTTGTCCGAGTTATCTGCCTACTTCTGAGGGTTAGAGGAGGTGCCTCTTCACTGACCATGGTACCATGGGCTGGCAATTGCCACCCTCTCTGTTCTCCCATGGCAGGTCTGTGTTCAGCTGGGTACTACTGTGAAGGAGGAGCCACTGATGCTATTCCACATGGGACACCTGCGTTCCCGCTCAGTGGCCCCTGCCCACTTGGGCACTATTGTCCAGAGGGTACTCATTTCCCAATTGCCTGCCCAGTGGGGACCCTGAACAATGCCACAGGTGAGTGTGACTTCACCCACAGGTTTCTCCTGTGGTCCACAGTGATGGGGGAGTTCATAGCTGGCAGCCATGGTGAGGGGGTGCCCCTTGGTCACTGAGGGGTAGTGGTACCCTCACCCAGGCCTGATGGTGGCAATGTGTTATCAGTTTAACTAAGTGCTGATGATGCTGTGACTGTACTGGGTGTACTTTCATCTCCCTCTCTCGCTGGCCTTGACTTTTGGTTTCTTCCTCAGGTGGTACCTCCCCAGAGAGCTGTGTGCCATGCTATCCTGGGTCTTTCTGTGCTAGCGTTGGTTTGAGTTCTCCAACAGGACCTTGTACTGAGGGGTTTTACTGCCCACCAAACTTCAGCTCCATCAGCCCCACAGCGTTCCTCTGCCCTAAGGTACTGCTTAGTGACAGCTGGGCAGTGAAAGGGGTGGGTCTTAGCTCTGGGCAGGAGGTGTCCGTTTTCCACAGTGGCAAAGGGTCACACGTGCCTGATTGAAATGTTGATTACATCCGCATGGAGTGTTGCCTTAGGCTTTGCTAATTCTGGGATTCACCCTTTACACAGACCCTAAGTTTGCCAACATCTCCATGCAATCCTCTTCTTTCTCTGTCATTGCCAGGGTCACTTCTGCCAGTCAGGGACAGCCCACCCAACACCATGCCCTGCTGGGGAATACCAGCCAGCCAGGGGCTCTGCATCCTGCACTCCATGCCAGAGAGGATTCTACTGCCAGGAGCTGGTGGCAGGAGACCTCAAGCGCTGCCCACCACATTCTTACTGTCCTACAGGTCCACTGAAACTTGCATACCTGTTATGCCAAGGATTCAAATGTCGTGTGCCTCACTGTGATCCTAGAGTTGTACAAACCTAATGTGTGTCTTCCTGTAGGCCAGGTGATGAGGAGGTGGCAATGAGCAAATATGGCATAGTTGCTGCCTTGCTTTCTGGGAGTCATTTTTTATGCTATGATACGCTTCTAGAGTCCTGTCAAATCCCAGCAGTCTTCCTAGGGTTTTTTATTGTCTCTGCGGTTTCCCTTTCAGGCACATGGGTTCCTCTCACGTGTCCTGAAGGCACCTTCACTCCTGCAAATATGACTGGCCTCTGGAATGAGAAGGAATGCCTGCCTTGCTTACCTGGTCACTACTGCAGGTTATGATTCATTTCAATCTGGCATTTTTTCACTTTGTCTTAAGCAGTTTGGCATCCTTGTTTTGTGCTGATAAATCGATGCTAAGTGCCTCCCAGCTTTTCTACCACAAGTCTCTCATTCAAGGAAAGAAATATAATCTTAGATACAGCTTTTGGTTACAGAGGTGTTGGATCTGTGAATTCTGGGAGGCATCTCAAAGCAGTCTGACGTCATTGTCACTATACAAAGAAGCATCTGAAAGAGACAGTGGGTAGCATTTGTGAAAATGTGGAAGTAATCCAGAAAGTCCAACCCAGTGGAAAGTCATCCACAATTTCATCTGAAGCAATTTGCCCATGTTCACAGAATTTGAACTCAAAAGTGCCTGGCTCGCTCTAGTAATCTGCATGTTTTTATAAGTGGAGAAAATGGGTCTATTTTCTGTCTCATATCAGTGTAAGAAGTTCTTATTTTTTGTTGCAGACTTCATAGAGTTCATTGGATCAATACTTGCTCTGCTTCTGCACCAAATCGTTAGTAGTACATTGTATATAAATTCTGACTGTCCTCTCTGCTCCAGGCGTGGACGGCTGGAGGGGAAGTGTGCTGCTGGATACTTCTGCCTTGCTGGGAGCTCTCAGTCTACTCCACAGGGCCACAGCTTTTCCTGGCGCGTCCTGTCTGGGTGCCGCTGGGGTCAGGTGTGTGCAGGGCTGTGTCCTGCAGGTAAGTGAGAATCTCAATAGTATTTAAAGTATAGAATATTGACTTGCTTCCAAACAACTGGAGAGCATCTGTTATCTTGTGTAATAGGTTATGGTCACTTTTTTGAAGTTGTCATTGCTCATTGGTTTCCTCTGGTTTTATATCTTGAGAACAAAGAGGTGTGCCTCACCAAAAAGGCCACCTTGAATTTATGGTGCTAGACTGTTAGTCCAGCAAAGTTTGAAGGCTGTTGGTTCGGCTCTCTACATGCAGAGCAGCATCCCAAAGCTGTGTAGATGTTTATTCTACAACAACAGAAGGGTCTTGCTGAGTAATTTTTGCCATTGGAGGGCTTTTATATTTTACATTCATCTCTTTCCCATCCATTTCTGTAGGTTTCTACTGCCTGGAGGGATCTGAGGTACCTATACCGTGTCCTGCCAATACTATTAGAGATGTTCCAGGGGCTGCAAAGAGAGAAGACTGCCTGCCCTGTCCACCAGGCCACTGGTGCAAAGCAGGTTGGAACTCGGGGGTAAAGAGTGAGGGGAGGGAGTGGGAGTTGCTTTTCAAGAGGGTTGTACGTATCCCTGAGTCCAGTGAGGCTAGCTTTGATACCAGATAGTGCATTGTGGAACAGTCCTTGCAGTAGGACACACGCTCTAGTCATGAGTTCTAGTGTCTGCAGAGAAGAGAGACATTTAACACTGTTAATATAACGTGCTGTTCCAGAAAACATTGGAAATGTAGGAGAGCCTGGGATCACTACCAGTCAGTCTCCAAATATCCCTGTGTGATATCTGTGAGAAGAGAGGCTTGGATTGTGGAGGTGGGTTGTGTGCATGTGTGCAGTAGTTTAGGAAGGACCCAGGGAGGACACAGAAGAAAGGTGTTCCAATTACAATGAAAAGATGACTCTTTAAAGCCCTGCTTTCTGCTTGTTAGGGGATTCAGAGGCCTACCTGTGTCCATCAGGACACTATTGCTTCAGAGGCAATGGCAGCGACCACAGCAGTCTCTTGGCACCTCAGAAATGCCCTCCGCAAACTTACCGCAAGCACCCAGGAGCTCAGAGCCTGACGGATTGCCAACCATGTCCTCCAGGCTATCACTGCCCTTTATCAGGTAAGTGCCAGGCGAAAGCGAGCCCTTTCTCACCTTTAGAGCTGATTACAAAACTTCCTGAGATGAGATAGGGGAAGGGAGAGGTAATTCATGTTCCCAGCAAGCTAAGAGCCCTTCTCTGGAACCCCTCCTGGCCATTCAGCCTCCCTTTCTTCATTCATTTCTCTTCCTAACAGGTCTGACCACGTTTGAGGATTATCCGTGCCCCCCTGGATACTGGTGCCCTGGGAAAGGGGATGCTTTCCTTTGTCCAGCTGGCACTTCCAGGATCCAGCCTGGTGCAAAATCATTGGAAGAGTGTGATCCCTGCTCACCTGGATACTATTGCCCGGATCCAGCACAGACAGGGCTGCCTAACACCCAAGGAGTACCTTGTAAACCTGGCTATGAATGCCCAGCAGGTGATATGACCGTGCTCTTTTGTTTTCTTTATTTCCAGCTACTTCTGAGTCTAGATGGCTGAACCGTGCACCGCAGGCACAGCCACAGCATTTAGCAGTGACTAGACACATTTTTGCAGTAGCCCTCCTAGGACATGGTCACTGGTGGAGTGGCTTTGGAAGTGGATTTATTACCCTGAATCCTTTTCCTGGCTTTTGGCCTTTGAATTCTCATCTCCCGTTTCTCAGCTCTCCCTTCCTGTTCTCCTTTAGCTGAGGTTCTCGAAGGAAGTGGTCTGGTCCTAAAAAAGAAGCAGATATCTTTCATCATCTAGGGCTAGTTATTCAGGTGTTAGCATTCCATGTTAAATATCAAACTGGTTCCCAACACATCTGGCCCTTCTGTGAGCAAGAGGAAAAGTGCAGTGTTTAGGCACAGTCACACTTAATAAGCCCCCTTGCTCACTGTCTCCCCAACACACACTCTCTTGTTCTGGAAATGTCACGTAATCAATCACTATTTCCCCTTTTTTCCACCAGGTTCAGTAAATCCTAAGCCTTGCAGGCCTGGCCTATACTGTGGTGCTCACACAGCTGCGCCTTCTGTGTGCCCTGCTGGGTATTACTGTCCCGAAGGATCATCGACATACAATAGCCCTGAGCAGCTGTGAGTACCTAGCATGTTTGGTGCAGCCAGCTTTAAGTTTCTAAAAAATCTGAATATTGGGAAGTGTGCCTGTGATAAAACCTGAGTTAATGCTTCAACCACGGTCTTTGTGCATTGTGCAAAAGCTAAGGTATCTTTGTAATTACAGTTACGGATTTGGTGACTTCCAAGACTGAGGGTGATTTATGATTTCTATTAGTTAGCTTGAGCCTAGGACCAGATGAGAACCATTTTTAATTTTGCCTTCAGTTTGCAGTGGTCATTGAATCCAGAAATCAAAACACTTCCAGAGACTTTCTTCCCTCTTCCTGCCTTGTTTTGCCTTCCAGGTGTGTGTTTCCCTACTACTGTCCCCCAGGCAGTGCTCATCCACTGCCTTGTGAAGGAGGGTACATGGCCCTCAGCTTGCCTGGTCTAAGGGATTCATTTGAGAAATTCTGCAGAATCTGCGATGGAGGCACCTATCGTAGTGACTCTCTCATCACGGCACCCTGTCAGCCCTGCCCAGCAGGCTTCATCTGCCCGCAAGGTAAATGGAGCTGCCGTGGCGGAGTGGGGCAAGAAGTAGCATCTTAAATTGTAACGAGAAAGTTTTAAGTTCTATGTGGGCAAAGTTCTTAATGCTCTACAGTTACAAATCCCTGGTGAGGGCTGTCACATTAGTTTGTGGAGTATTTGTTTGTGGTGGGTTGTTAGAAGAGTTTAGAGAAATGGGACAAGAGTGGTTTGGATATTGGTGTCCTGCCTCTCAGGGGATGATCTGTCAAGCCCTTGCGAGTCGTGTTTTCTCTAATTTTGTGGCTTAGCTGAGAGGCTCAGAGTTAATGTATTACAAGAAGTAGAAGAGTGAACCTAGGGGTTCAAAGTTTGCTGCGCGACAGCCACTGCTGCTTGCAACCTGCTGGGTTAGGATGCAAGAGGAATAGCTTTACAAGCATTTGAAAGTCTCTGTTGGCTGGGATCCTATGTTGAGTTCACTGACGTGTTAGCTCCTGCCATATACTGTGGAGGAGATCATGTCTACCCACTCTTGTCATTGGATTTGTCCAGTGAAATAACTGGGACAAAGGAATCAAGATTTATATTTAAATATAAGTAAAATAAATTGAAAAATGTTTAATGTTGATTAACTTTATATATGCATATGTGTGTATTTATATATATTTGTATTTATGGACATATATATATATAGGTATGTGTACATGTATCGCTGGAATAAATAAGTGCTCTCTGCCTATCTCTTAGCACTTGCTTGGGTCCTTAAGCAGAGTCTATGTCTAACAGCCTATCACTTTCTCTAGGCAGTGAGGGTTACCACAAGAAGCCATGCCCCAGTGGCTATTACTGCCCTCCCCTGGCATCTGCCCCTCTGCCCTGTCCCCCGGGGACCTATGGGAGCAGCAACTTTGCAAAGCGTATAGAGGATTGCCAGGCCTGTCCTGCCAACACCTTCAATCACCTTCCTGCTCAGGCTGCCTGTTTCCCCTGTGGCAGCTCTTCTTCCTCTCAGCCTGGTGAGTTGCTGTTTGTGAGGGAAACTTTTCACCTCTGTTATGAGAAAGGCTAAAAAGGAAATCACCTAGAAATGTGATTCCCCCATATGGTTTCATGACAGACCACAAGCCCTGGGATCCTCGTGATGCTGTGTGTGCTATCAATGCCTGGCTGCTCTTTCTCTGTCCCACCCAGAAGAAGCATTCAATTTTCAAAGCTGTCTTTTGTTCTCTTGTGCTCTGTTAGCCGAAGGGATTTGAATTCATCTTCAAAGGAAGGAAGAGATGAGATGAGCAGCCCTACTAATTCTTGCTCTATCGTTGCTTTGAAAGCAGCGGAGTTTCACCAAGAGTACTTTTACCCTGAATTGGGGAGCTTGCATTAAATGTAGGTGTGCTTTTGAGCCAAAACTGGGCACTCTAACCATGTCCAGCTTTGGCTATGATAAAGTGGGAAAAGGCTAGAAAACTGGAAGGTAGGTGGCTAAGCACAGCAGAGAGTGTATATGCTTTATTTAGTGTACTGTGCAGTACTGTACCAGCATTTCAGATCAAGTGGATTTGAGAGTGTTGAGGCTCAAGAGAGGGGCTTGGCAGCCTTGATTGACTGGGTCCTTACCCTATCCAGTGGCTTAATGTACAAGTTAATGGAGTGCTTGTCAAAATGCCACTGTGGCAAATGACCAGCTGGGCCTTTTCGCATCTCTTGTTAAATGGGCACTTCAGGAAATGATCTAATGATTGTGTTGGTGGAGGAAAAGGCAGGCTGGCTCCAGCTGGCTTTCCTGTTGGCTCCGCTCTGCTGTGCTAGTGGGGCAGCAGACTCCAGGAGTGTCACTAAAATGAGCAGTGTGATTTGGCCAGAGTATTATTCAACACAGGAACTGCTGCTTTTTGGTGAGCACAGTTTTTGCAAACTATATTCCCTACCATGATTACCACTCTAAATCCAACCTTTTCTCTAAGGTGCTGCCAGCTGTACCTGCCATGGGTTGAACCGGGCTTTCCAGCAGTCGGATGCCTCCTGTATTTGCCAGGCAGGTTACATTTACTATGATGAGCGAGGCAAGAAAGACCCTGACAGCAACAGCAATCAGGACTGCCGACCTCAGGTAAAGTTTGGCTTCAGAACAAAGTTGTTGCATGACATGCAGGAGAAGGAAAGTAGTTCAGTGCTTTAGGCCCTCTCTCAGGGCGTGTACGTGCGTGCAATCTGAGCTTAGTTTTCTGGGCTTCTGCAGACACAAGCAAGTCCTTTAGCTGTTTTGTTTGAGACCCTTGCCCCTTCCTTGTAGGATATTGGCCTTGTCATCTTTACCAGAATCTCGTGAAGTGGAATTCATAAGGGCTGGAGGCAAAAGATACTTCCATACTACAGCAGTGGGGAGCAGCCAAGTGTCTCAGATGATAGATGCAGGAATATAAGCCTCCATATGGAGTTCTTCATTAGACCGGCTTGAGGAATTTGGATGGGAAGTGAAGGTGTTGTGATCTTTCTTCCACACTTTCCAAGTTGTCTTTTAACAGACCTTGTTGGATTACCTTTACGTTGAATGTCAGCAGTGTGGGTGGGGGAGGGAGATAATTTTGTCTGCTGCATCTTGTTGAAGTGCTAGAGCTTGTCTGGTTTCACACATTGGATGAGTGTTGTTCTTTCAGGTGGATGAGCTCTGCGCTCCTGGAGAGGTCCGTCTAGCATCTACGCGCCAGTGTGTTTTTCCTGAGCAATATGACTGCTCTCCTTCTTGTGGGCCTGCAGGTGGAGAGATTAATGCAGAGCTGGGCATGTAAGTCTCAGCCCAGCCTCTCATTAAGAAGTACTTCACAATTAGTTCTGAGTGGCTGAGTTACTGATCCCATGAAGTCATTCCAGGGTAGGGCTGTGGGAGGTCTTTTTGAGAAATTTTCCATTGCTGGAGTTCCTTTCTGTGGAGATACCAGCCTTCAGTCCACATTTGTTGGCCTCATTCCTCTACCTGGAGAGTATGTCTGTGTTTTCAACATTACCTAGTGGTTTTGTATGCTTGGGTGGAGACACCAGAATGAACACTGAGTGACAACATGAGGGCGAACAGAGCTCACGTTTTCTGAGGTAGACCTTTTCTGTGTACCTCAGGTTGAGCCCTCCCTAAAGTGGATGATCCCTCTATTAGATTTAGACCAGAACTGAGGAAATGGATCCTCATTCCTGTGCCCCCCGCCTTCAATGCTGACTAAAACATTGAAGCTAGTTCTTGTCATATGATACTACTTTTTTCTCTTTGTGAATAAGCTTCTGTATTGCAAAATCTTCTCCCGACATGGATTGCACAGAAATCTAGTGTGTTAAAATGGTACTCTGTTGCTTTCACCCATTTTCTTAAAGCAGAACTTTAGGGAGGGATGCATAATACTCTGTTACAGGACCAAAGTTCATCTCTATTAGCCACCAAGAGAAGCCTGTTACAGAGTGGGGTATCGTATTTTGGCCTTTCCCGTGCACCTACTAGCAGACAGAGTACTGGATGAGATGGTCTGTGAGTTTGCTCTATCCTGTTTTACATGGATATAGAGTAGGTCCACTCATTGCGTAGATTGTAAGATACTGGGGCTAGCCTGACCATCAGTATGTTGTAGCTGTTTGCTCAGAGATCACGAGTGATCGAGACCTTTTGTCCACTTTATAGATGTCACTGCAAGCAGTATGTCTCTTCGGAGGAACTCTGTGACCAACTGTGTTTGCAGAGAGCCCCACGGATCTCCTTGGGATTTGGTATCAATAGAGAGCTGCTTCTGAGGATAAACGAAGGAGAAGCGAGGGTAAGTATGGAGTGAGGGAATGCTTTCCCAGCATGCAAGTCTGGAGAGAGCCCTTATAGACTACGGTTAGGTAAAGGGACTCTTGGGGGCTGAGGTTACAGAAGGGTACAAAACCGTGAGCAGAGAGGAGAGACTCAATATCTCTCATTGCCTAGAGTACTGATCAGGCAGCAGGTTGGTGTATTACTGAGAAATGATAGTTCCTGAATGGTGGGGATAAAACCTCACTAGAGCAGTCTTGTACAGCTGAAGGTAAGGTTGATCACAAACCAGGGTCCGAGTCCAGGGTTGATTGTATCAGTGATCAGTGTTCTTCTCTGCTTTTAATAGGAAGTGGCAAATGTTCTGGGCCCAGATGAACATGTGCAGAAAAGTCAGCGAGTGCATTTGGTTCTGTTTAGTCCCAGTGGAGTGCTAGGTTTCATTGTCTCCAGCACAGATGTACTGGATGCATTTCTCACGGGTAAGGCTTGCAAGCCCCTGAGAGTGAACCTAAGTTCCAGCCAGACTAAGCCATTAATTTCCTTTCAAGTTGGCACAGCAAGCAGACAGCAGGTTGGCGCAGAGGGAATTGATTGTCAGACACTTCAAACTATTTACAAAGTAGGGAAAGATCTCGTGCTATCTGGGAGTAAACAATGGGGACCTGCAGTGGCTGCATGGTTAGCTCCCTGGAAACAAGTCAAATAAAGATTGTAGGATGATTTTGGCCTTCCAAGGAACTAGAAGGAAACTCAGTTTGGAGGCAAATCTGTTGGCAAGTGCATGCTGGCTCCTAATTCCAGTTGCTCCTCATTTATGGTAGCGTGACTCAGAGCAGAATTTGGCCTTGTGAGCTGTAATTGCCCACAGACACAAAATAAATAGTCCTTCATTGCTAAGGGTTAGGTGTTTTCACATGCTGCTCTTTTTGCAGAATTAATTTTGTTTTGTCCTGTTGCCTGTGGCAGGAGATTTTTCATCACATCAGTTGCTGCAGAAAGGTCATCGAGTCCAGAGGACTTCCTCCAAAGATATCCATGCCTTGCCCCTTGTTCCTAACCCAGTAGTATGTTTGGAAGCAGGAGACACGATCCTTTTCCAGCTTAGCATCAATTCTCACAGTGAGTGGTTTTGGGTCTGTGTGCTCTTTGCAGATATATGTGTCTAGACCTGTTTAGAGCAATGACTCCACATTTGGTAGTACCACATGTATGAGCACTCTCCTTCACCTCCCTGACTCACTTGCCCTCAGGGGATTCCAGAACTGTAGTCTAGGCTCTGCCAGTGACTTACCTGGTGTTTTTTACTTTTAGACTGGATTTCTGTAGAATAGAGGTAGAATTTTTCCTCTGTTAGAAAGTGTAAGCCTTTCTTGGGCAGTACTGCATAAGTCAATTAAATGAGTTGACACTGCATAGCCCTATAAAAGAAATGCAGTTACATAGTTCTTTGCCAGACCAGTGTCAGCTATCCTAACCGAAGTGGGTCCAAGTTGCTGACACTGTGATGAACTGTTCCCAGATCGTGCATCCAGCTATTACCCTGTTTATCAGAAGCAGCATCTATATAACAGCAACCCAAGCTGGGATTTTGGACCCTTCCGAAGGCTAGACCACCTCGTCCAGGAGACTCACCTCAACATCTCCTGGTAATAATTGGCGTGATTAACAGTGCATGTGTTATGGGCAGGACCTGAGAGCGAGTCTTTCACAGAATCAGTAGGTCCTTGGAAGCGAGCAGTATGTGAAAATGCCAAAATTTGGTGTGTTCAAGTCCATGTATTTAACCATCATCGCAGCTGGAGGCTAAAGAAAGTTTGGATCAACCGGCACCTTCCTTACTTCTCCCTTCTAGGTTTGCCCATGTTTTCCTGGAGTCTGGGACATATGTTTTCAGGGATAGGACCATTCAGGAACACTTCCTGATTGTGACTGTGAATGAAGCAAATGTGGGCTGTGACCGCAGAGATGTATCCTTCCAGCCCTCTTCTCTGTTCCAGCTGGCCAGACATGGCGTTTTGAAGCAACGGGATCTGAACTTGGCTCCTAACTGGGCTGCTATCACAGGTACAGCCAAAACACTGTGATACCTACCTTGAACCTTGATGCTTAGCCATGACCTTTCTTGTACCTCTTCAGGTGTGTTTAAACAAGCATTATTTTTTTTTTTTAATACCATAAAACCACTGGCTTTGTCAGCTTTAATCCTTTTCTCCTGTGGAGATTCCCTTCCCAAAGTTCACTGCTCTCTAGCCAAGAACCTGCCTGTGTAGGAGCTGAAGGGGGAAAGAGAGGGAAGGAGCAGTTGTGTTTCTCTCCACACCCTGCTTGAAGAATTCAAGTAATTGAGGGCTTTGCTTTCCTTGGCTTGAAAGCAGAAAGTGTTAGTGTGTTTCTGTGACAAACTAAAGTGAAATTAAATGCAGAATTTAAAAGTTCACTAAAGGCTAAACACAAGGGCAGTTAAGGTCTTTCCTCAAAGCCATACCTCTGTGTAAGTGCTGTGTACATACCAGTGCTTTGTCCATCAGTGAGAGGACAGTAAAGCAATAGGAATGAAAGCGTGGCTTGCGAGCGTGATCCTTGGTTCTGTCACGTTCAGCTACCAGTGCTGAAAGCATTTTTCCTCCTTGCCTGCATGCACCAGATCAGCAAGGGGAGAAGCAGAAGCCCGTGTGATGAATACGAAATTTTCTAAATATTGGTTTTGTCTGGGAGGGAGAGCCTTTAGTGAAGTGTAAAAGGGAGACTGTGGTATTGATACACACTGCTTCCTATGTTTCTTACTTCTTGCCATCCCTCTTGGCTTCCCCAGTGGTCCTTTTTGTTCTGGGCTTCCTGATCGTGGTGCTGACAACCCTGGCTGTAGTGCTCCAGCCTGCTGTCCCTATCATTAGCCCCCTGAAGAGCTGGAAGCCACGATGGAGGAGCCTGGGTGAGCCGCACATCCCGCCAGAGTACGTCCTCCTTAAAGACAGGTAAACCACCTTTGCATGGTAGGTATCAGGAGCTCAGACCTTGATAATACAAAAGCATGCCCTATTGTAATTACTGACTCAGTCCCTGATGCTGGACTTCTTGCCAGCTTTACAGTACACTGAGTTTCTACCTGCACAGGGAGTTTCTTGGTATTACCCAGGAGCTCCCCAGCAGTATTCCAGCTCTCTTCCAGTATAGCGTAAAACAGCTCTGTTGTGTCATCTGCGTAGGGTATTATTGTCTGAATTACCTGACCTAGGCTTCCCCTGCATGTTTTGACTTCAAAATCTAGACAAGAAACTTGTTCTTCTGCTTGAACTAGGCTTGTAATAATGCACTATCTGATTTTACTGAGAAAAATGAGATATTCTTCATCCCTTCTGTCATTCCATCTAGCCTTCAGTTCTATCAGATGGTTGGTCCTCATGCTTCTGGAGAAGATGCTGGCTTCACAGAGAAAGGAGCTGTGCATAATGCAGGTGAAGTGCGGTGCCAGCCCCAGGTGTTCTCCCATCGGCTTCTTCCCACTTAGTCCCCATTCTGTTGTCTTCTGTTAACTCTCTACTATGATATTTTGTACCTACTCAGAAATTTATGCACACGCTTGAGGTCACGCAGTCACTTTGGCTGCTATGCACTCGCATGTTTGCGCACATTTACACACACACACGCATGTGTGTGCATACCACACGCGCTTCTATGCTATGTTCGTTTTATCTCTCCAGTTGGGGAGTGTAACCTCCTGTCATTGGAATGCGTTAGTGTTTTCTTCCTTAGGAATTAGGAGGTAAGTGGCCAGCCCTGAAACGTCCCTTAAAACAGTAGCGGGTTCAGATGACTAATGAAGAAAATAAAGATCTTTAAAAATATTTTCTTGGGTTCTCCTGTTGGTCATTCTATTCTCTGAAGGCACATGACTGATGGGCCTTGTTTGCCTTCTGGGAATGACCTCTTTTTGGGAATTTCAGGATGTTCACAGGGTAGAGTAAGTCCAGAACCCAGCAGATGGCACCATCTAGTGATGCCGAGAATTGCTTACAGACAAGTAGCACCCTGACAGTTTACTGGGCAAGTTAGGAGTTGATAGTAACGCTCTGTCATCTTCCCCCTCACTAAGGAACGAGACCTTCTCTTACATCTCTTGCCTCAACCATTTTCGTTCTTCACAGTACACAAAATGCTTTTGCATCCTATGGACAGGCAGTGCCCCTTCTGGGAAATAAATTAGAATAGACTTGTGGCCAGCGGTTAAGTGTGAAACTTACCTTGTGTTTCAGAAGAGCGTTTTGCACTGAGGGTTCTGGAGGATTTCAGTGTTCGCACCCTGTACGATAAGCTGGAAGATCAAAATTTGCACCTGGCATCTCAGCTGGCAAAGCACAGGATGGATGTGTTGGTGTTTTACAACAGAATCAGCCAGCAGATTCAAAGTCTCATGGTCAGTGTGAAGAAACAGTTGAGGGAAGGGAGTCTTGTAACTGTGAAATTTGTAAGATAAGTGATTCCCCTGAAGTGGCAGTTTACTGAGGGATAGGTCTTACTCCTTTTGGTACCTTATTTTGGCATGAAATAGTTACACTAATCTCTGTTTTGATATGAGAGGCAGAGTGTGGAATGGGTGAATTGTGAGGTTTTCAGAATATAATACCGCTGCTTTCTGTAAACAGGACATGGTGCAAGCACTGGACTCTGAAGCCCTGAAAATCCTTGCCAGGCAAAGGATTTGTGGGCATAAACCTGCAGACAGCAGCCGGGCAGCAGTGGGCGTTGAACAATGTGATGAATGCTGTAGCAACAACTTCCAAGCAGGTGAGAGCACCAGAGTGCAGAGCAAGAGAGAAGCGGAGTGTAAGGGTAGCGTCAGTGAACCAGTTAAAAAAAAACAAAACAAAACATGGGTTGTACACACGAGAAAAGATCCCACCAGATCATGTCTTCCAGTCTTCTTGTAGTTCTGTAAGAGCTGACAGCCTGTCTTCATGTGAGTTCCATGAGAAGACAGGTCTGTCAGCTTAGGAACGGGTAAGCACAGAGTTAATTTGGAAATGTTACAGCATGAGGCATCTTGGAACCATCTTGTGGAATTTCCAAAGAAAGGTTCCTGCTCTTGGTTTTACTCTGGAGATCATTACAGTTCTTCATGTGGTTCTGTAGAAGTCCATTTAAATTGCTTGTCAGGTTCATTAGGTGCTCCGTGGCGAGAGACAACACAGTTAATGAAAGCTCTGGAAATGCTGCTTGGGAATGCTCTGTACAAGAATGTAGCTGTGAAACGAGAGATGGAGCAGAAGGTCCAAGGACAGAATGTGATGACAGTTGTACCCTCACTGGACAGCCTAGCCAGTGGAAGTAAATCAGAAGTAGTCAAAGGGCAGGTGAGCTGCAGGTGTCTGTTGCTGGGCTATCTCTCACCTTTCTGCTAGTTTTTCCGCTTGCCCGTTTCTTTAACTCTTGGGCCCTTTTTATCCCACAGGACCATGAGCTGCCACAGCAATATGAGCTCTTCAGTAGGAAAGATTCTTTTTTCAGCTTCCCTGGACATGAAGAACATGGTAAGGGCAGTGACTTAGTTGTGGGTGCCATGGGTACTTTTCAGCAATCACAGTAGAAGGCTGAGTCAGTGAAGTCAAGGTTAAGAGAGAGTATATATGTTTGCTAACAGAGCAAATGTATAATTACTTTTTCCCGTTTATGCTCTTACTTTCACATAATTTTTTTTTTGCTGAGGTGGACAATTGAAATTTTTCCAGTTCAGGAAAGCCACTTCTGCCTCCTCTGTTCTTCTGTAAGAGGGAAGTCAAGGAGCTTTCCTCCCCGCAGACCCTTTACAGCTATATCTTAGGTGACTACCTGTAGGGAAGAGATTAGGTGTCACTATACTAATTAAATGCTAATGTGGGGAGGTCAGGAAAATTCTGTACCATCAGTTCTGTGATCCTCACAGGCTCTGGGTAGGCATTCTCTCTGCTCAGCACAGTATTTCCTTGTGGCAGCATGTATGTTGCAGTCATCCAGACATGAAGAGCCTCTTCTTCCTTTAGGCTTAAAAGTGCCCCCCCCCCCCCCCGTTTTCTTCACGTTTAGATCTCCATTTGGCTTATCTGACTGAGTTGGAGGTGGAGGGCCTGATAGCAGCTTCCCCCCTTGCCAAGACTCTGTGTGAGATCAAGCAAGCTTTGATGAATCTGCAGCAACCTTCAGACCTTGTTAATACAGGTAACGGATCTTAGCCTGTATTGCAGTTTCTGTTTCCCTATAGTGGATAGGATATGAGATTACAAAATGTGGCGAGAGAAGTTGTCTCTCATCTTTGGTGCCTTGGTAAAACACACAGATGTCTGCTGTTGAGCTGCAGGTCATTAAAAAGAAGTCACCAGAAGGCCAATAAGCAGACCAAAGTGCTTGACTAATTCACACATGTAGACTTGTTTTCTTCTTTTTCTCAGCAGGTACTTACACAACTGGAAGATTTTTGTTTCTTATTAATTCATTTGTTAGAGCTTTTCTGTTCATCACAAAAGGTTTCCAGGGAAAATGTTGTAATACAGCCAAGATCTGTAATCTTAGGAAGCAATTTACCAGCAAGAGAGTAAGGCAGCTGGTTCTCTTCATGTGTACTGGTTTATAGTAGTAAATAAACAAAGAGTTAAAATAAGCAGGATGTCTTCTGAACAGAGTGTTTTCCTCAAGCTGTTGCTGAATTTTTAGACTGTGATGTTTAGAGTTTGAAATTATTAATGGTGTGGTTTTGGTGTAATTATGGGTGGATCATTTGCATTATTTTGAAATTCAGATACAGAGAGCTTTGCAAGGGCCTGAATATGCTATCAGTGTGCACTATGTAGCTTGCCACATACTCTAGAGTCACTGAGTCAGCGTATAGTGCTGGCAGTAGATCCTGCCCTGTTTTTTTGCCCATTGGACTAGGCTGCCATAGTGGTGGCATAGCAATCCCTTGCTGCTGTCCACTGACGCTCTGCCTTTGTTTTGAATTTCTGTAACAGACAGCAAACATCAAACAGGCGTGGGGAGCTCAGCCCTCTTCTGAGCTGCTGGATTCTTGGGCCACAAAGAGGGATGAAGCTCTGCTGCTGGAAATAAAGAGGAGCTGCATTGCTCAGAGGATTGAAGAGACAGAAGCAGAAGTATTTCACCTTCTGCAAAGTAAAATAGCCACCAGCCTATTTCCTTGAGGAACGTAGCTTGTCCTTGGCAATGGCTAAATGTGGATTATGGGAGGAGGGTGTGTGCGCCTGCGGACAGAGCTGCAGTACCTGAAGGATAAGAATAGCTAAGTATTTAGTTAGAGATGTACTTGGTCGAATATGTAATGGATAATCCATATTCTGTTTGCTTAACCTGGTTGAAATACTTTCACATTTGCCTTGGATTATCAATAATTTGTAGGCTTGAGAAGGAAGCTGAGGTTCTTGACATTGTTTAATAATTTTATAGTTTTCATTGTTAAGTCAGTAAAGCAGAAAACACGTGAGGCCACAGCTGGCATAAGAGCCCGTACTTATCAATGCATTTTTTATAGCCTTTATGATCTTGGATACAAAGGATATTTGTGAGGGTTTTTCAAGTACAGTTTAGAGCCATACTTCTAAGCCTTGCCCAGCATCTCTACGTTGCCTGTGCATGCTTTCAGTATACTCACGTTGGTTTCTGTAAGGTCTGCTGGTAGAGACCTTGAAGGTCTCTAGAGATGTGATTTTTTGAGCAAAGAGTACACTTAAACTACTCCCTGTAGTGGTGACAGCAGGGATCAATATAGCAGCTGGTAACCAGTGCTCTGGGAGCCTGATGTTGAAACTGAAAATAGCTTTCCTACCATTCTTACTCTTTTGGCCTGTCTGTATGACGCCAAGAGAGCCTGGCTGTGAAGTGGCCTTTGCTTCTGTGGAACAGGAGCAGAATCAGAACACTTGCTCCATCTCTTTCTGCGGAATATTCCTTAGTTCCAGGTGAAGTACAGCAATGTAAAATCTCTTGACTATGAGCCAGCACAGTACCTTGGCAACCTCCACAGGTAGGCTTCAGCCAAGTGTTTCCAACAGCAAAGCCTGTTCTCTTTTCACTGCAATATTGACTGAATTGCTTATGTGTGAAGAGGTCTGTAAACCCACTCCTTCCCGGTTCCTAGACGCAAATCTGTGTTTACTCCTCCTGCCTTTGCATAACCATAGTGGGTATTAAGAGAGTGAGACTTCAGTGCCCAGGAGCCAAGACAGAAGCTCTTGGTTTTGCTTCCAGTAACTGGCGTCTCTGGTGGATCCAGAGGAACTGCAAGGTCTTTTGCCTTCATCTACTCATTTTGGTGGTTCCCCATTTTCTGAGCTTGCTCCCAAAACCAAAACACTTGTTTTGGTTCCTTTGCAACTTCACCTTGGGAGAATTTAGGTACTTGCTGATGCTCTGAAGGGGCTTTGGGAAAATGGGACGATTTTAGGAAGCAAAACATATCTACAGGCAAACACTACAAAACACCTGTAGGCCACTTTCTGTGATTGCCTGTTCTAGAATATAGTAGTGAAAAAACTGTCATTGCTCTCCATGTTGCTCTCTTTTTCAGGTTATCAGCAGGTATGTTTATAACAGTACTACGCAGAGGTAAGCGTCTTCAGTGATTGCTGTCTCTAATATCCACAGGGAAACATCATACTGAGAGAGGTGATAAAAGTTCTCTGTGACTTGTGGTTCCAGGTTACATTTGTAAAAGGCAGGGTGGAAGGCACTAGTAAATAAAACTTGTCAAATTTTTCATTGTAACAGTTTTCAAATTCAAGCAATTTTTTGTTTTAGATCAAAACAAAGGTATTTGTATGGAATTTTGCTAGACGTTTTCTTTTTTCCCCACTGTGGTTTTCTTAACAAGTACACTTCAGTTATAAGTAAACATTTTTGAGTTTCAGAATGTTTTGTGTCTTTTTTTCCCATAGAACCAAAGAATATCAATAAAAAGACCAAGTTTCACGCAATGTTTCTTTTCATACTCTGTTAATAGTTCCTTGGAAAGAACAAATAAAAAGAGGATTGGTGCAACCGTTGTTGTTGTTCTACTTCTGAAGTATTTACTGTTGATAGCTCTTTTTCTAGTGGTCTATGGAATCTTCCAGGAGTCCAGTGCTGTCTGGAGTAGCTGTGAAGTCCCCTCACATTTGGGAGGGTGCCATTTACCTGCGACTGCCGATAAGAGTAATCGAGTGGAGGGTCACTTAATTTGGAATTTGGAGAAGGGTCACTGGGCTGTTGGTTTTTATTCGGTTGCTTTGACTTACGCCTCTCTTAACAGAAAATGAAAAGGCCCTTTTGAACATTCAGTGTAAATTTCAGCTTCTCTTGGAGAGCATCAAATACTGCTGCGGCTGTGAGAAGCAAGGTATGGTTGAGTTCCCTGAGAAGGAACCTCTGGTTTATGGCTGTGTGTGGTTCTGAGTTCTGAAATGAGCTGGGTGGTTTCTGCTGATTCTGTCTTCCAGCGTGAAACCATCATCAAGCCTCCCAGTGTGTTAACAAAGCCAGATAATGTTCCTGATGGTGTTTGTTGCAGTTACTGAGGCTGCCCCTGACTGCGCTCATTATCTTGGTTAATCCTTGCCTCTCATTATACATATACACAGATAGATACAGTGCTTTTAAATGCTGTTAGAAGAAAAGGTCTGATGATATTTTCTTCAGATGGCTATTTTCCAACGAGGATTTCATTACTATGTCAACGTGATGAAACATGCCAACAACCAAGATCTACTGGCAGATTCTTTGCAGGTTTTCACACTCAGTCCTTGAATACAGTCACATTAACTAAGCCTGTCAAGTTGCCACTGATTAACAAAACCGTAATGGCTATCTATTGAATTCTCCTAGACATAGCAAGTGCAATGTATTATGAGGCAGCTTATCCCACAGCAAAAGAGGTTTGCGCTGAGTTTTATGACCTGGTTTTTGCCTTGACAAAAAGCATACGCATCAATGTAACTCAGCTGACTCACCACTAGGGTGAGAGGCAGATGATTATTTAGAGATGGTCCTGAATCATAGTACTCAACAAAAATGCACCCACTTTGGGCTGTTTTTCGGATGTGGATTAACCTTTGCATCGCTGACACATGTCTTGAATTTAATTGCCATAGCTCTTAGTAGCTTCAGGCTATTGAACCCTGACCTAGACTTCTGTGTGTTACAGGTGAAACTGAATTGGCAGATGAGAATGGCCAGGTGAAGAATTTGCTCCAGAACCAGGACCACTATGCATCGCAGCTCCTGAGTGAGACAGAGTTTTGTGTGCTGCTCAGTCACACGTATGTAAATTTGCAAATCTCTGTATTGTAGATGCTTTTATTTTCCTTTGTAGCTAGAGAAATACCCACACACAGGTGAAGGTTGAAAGTTAAAGAGGATCTTTGTTCTGGATTCCGAACTTGAGCCTCTGAGCATCCTTAGCTCCGCTCAGAGACAATAGGACCTAATGAAGTTGAACACTTATTGAAGACAGAGCTAAGATACCAGAAACTGGACACCGAAATTAAGGCTGCTTTTGAAAATGGTGGAAGTCAGGATTGCCTTAGTGTAGGACAGAGATTTCCTGATGGTCCCATTTCTACCTCCAGGAAATGTTCTTCTGAAAGTTTCTGGTTTTAATACCATGCTTTTATCCCTCGCAGCACACGGAGGTTCCCAAGAAGCTGTTTTTACACCACGGCTGAAAGACCACAGCATTGTCGCTCCAAAGTTCCTGGGTAGGTAGCCTGAAGTAGATGCTTCTGTAATCTTGTTTTCAAACATGAGAGGAGAGAATATCATATCAGCTGTGCTCTTAGGGGAGGAATAAAAGCCCCAAGTAAAGGGGTTTAATTTATAGTCAAAATGGGAAATCCTTATTTCTAGAACTAAGAAATTAAAACTAATGAAGAAAATGCTTGTTAGTATCTTTCCATTGTACGTGAAGTGCTGGAGTCATAGATGACATGGTGTGTACCATGGAGGTACAAGAATTACTTTTAATCTTCTCTTATCAGCTACTTTTTCTTTTCTCTCTGCAGCTAGACTGGGGAAGTGGGAAGATTCAAAAGTGTCACCTACCAGAGTGAAATCCAGAAAATATGGCAAACAGTCAGTCTTGCTTTTGGAAGTTCCATCCACAGAAGGTGAGCCCCTGACCTGAATGAAATGAATGCTTATGCTTTCTTTGGGTCCCCAGCACCTATCCGTGAGCGTATTGTGTTTCTACTGCACGTAAAAGGAGTCATTCACCACAGGGCAACAAGAATGAAACTGTGGCTTCCCCTTCCAAAGAAACTGAGAAACTCTAATAATGGCAAGTCAAAGGAGTTGCTTGGTACTGAGTTTTGGAGGCCATCTTTATGCTTGTTGGTTTATTTCTTGATGAAAGAATTTGTTGGGTTATTTCCAGAAGCCTGAAATAGTAAATGGCTCATTTCTATGAGAAAAGTCTCACTGAGCTAGTTTATCAGTGAATCGGTTTGAAGCCAGGTACACGCTTAATAAATTTGCCAAATGAAGCCTTGATCCTTGCAGACACTGGGCTTGTATGGTGCATCACAGAAATTGGCAGAAGGACAAACTCCAGCCCCAGGTTGGTTGATCTTTAACTCAGTAGTTTTATTTCTGGAATTGTTGAAGTATTCAATTAACAAGTCCTTAGTACTTTTATCTCAACTTTTACCTGACTGATTAGCTTCTCTAAGTGACTTTATAACTTCTCAGGTGGGTTGTACTTCCATGGAATGGACCCTGTCCCATATTTCACATACCTGATGAATCAGTAGTCCTGCTGATTTGCTGCGCTAAGTGCTTGTATGTATACAGCACAATGAGAGACATATTAAAACTGTGTATAAGAACCTAGATCATCTTGTAAAAGCTATAGGTGAACCTTTCTTCTTCAAGGTTCCTCTAAAAAAAAAAAAGAGCCTGTAAAACCTAATCAGCGAGAATATAACTTTTCTTTGTACAACACCCAGCGGTACATTGACCTCGGATAAATTCAGTTTTAAAGTTGCCATGCTTGGTTTTATGCAACTCTTCTGTTGCTGATTGTATTTAGACTTAAACAAAAAGATTTCAAAAATGTATTTTCTAACAGTGGCCCCCAAATAAGGTGAGGGCTGTTGGGACTCTCCATTAAGATTCCCTACATGCTGGTGACGATACAGTGAAATTCACCTCTGTCTGTCTATGTGAGAA